ATTTCCTTCAAGTCATTCTCTATTATTGAAAAACAAAACAATGATATTAGTACGCATAGAATAGATTTTGGTGTAGAGAATGTTTAGAGTTTCGTGTAAACAAAACTACTGTTAAATCAATAATAATAATTAAGCAAATAACATTTTTTCAGTTTTGTTAAATTAACATTCAAACTTAACATCTGTTCGATTTACCATTTTTTATATAACAATATCATAGGAATTGTTTTTTTTTTCAAAAAAAACAAATATCATAGGAATTCTTATTTCAGCTATTTAAAATTTCATAAAACATAGACACATAGTTTAGAATATATAAACCGGTTTATAGATAGTTATCACCACCAGAAATTCAATTTTCTTTTATGATTGATCAATATTTGAGAAATACAAATCCTAATTTTTGTGGTCGAGATAGTCAGATAGAAGTTTTCTATATTTTGGCATTTTGGTTCTTAGTATATTTAGTTATTTATTAATAGGTTCGATAGCAACTACAAAACATTCACTTTTTAAGCTCAAACTATTTTCAACATTTCTTTACTGATTATTGAGAGAAAAAAATTACACTAAGGCACAGTAAGAACTAAGAACTAAGAACAAGTAAAAGCGTGAAGCCTGAAACGTGAATAATGTGTTGAGGCCCACGGTAATCATTCAAATAGTGCACACAATAGCTCAATTATTGAAAAAATTCACAATAATTCTGCCTTTTAAAAAAAAAACAAATATAATTCAAAATCTACCCAATTAACCTAAATTTAATGAATATGGTCATGCCACATGGATTAATTTTGGTTACTTCTCTAATTATTAATGGTTTTTGGTTATTGAACAAATTAGCCCTTAAATTATTGGCTAACACTTGTAACTACTAAAACGATTTCCTTTTTTTTGTCCACTTATAAAGAATCACGTGCTTCTCGTTCAATTAACAAAGATCAACCTAACTTAAAATTTTAGTTTAACCTAATCTAATATATCAGGTTAATGATACTAAAAAACACACTATAACACTGACACAACTTCTATATAACCATATACCTCCCCTTCATTTCATCTTCAACACTTTCTTTTCACCATTGTCTTTAGACAGAGAAAGAGCATAAGAAAACTAGAGAGAGAGAAACACAATAATGGTGAGTTTCGAGAAGGTTCCTTTACTGTTAGGGTTAGCTCTAGTTCTAACTCTGGTCGGAGCTCCGACCAAAGCCGATGGCCCTGTTTGTCGTAGTGCTCCGACATTTAGCAGAGCAAGTTTCCCTGAAGGGTTCATTTGGGGAACCGCAACGGCAGCGTTTCAGGTCAAATCTTATTAAAAAAATTTATACATTTTTAAACCATTTTTAAACCATTTTAATTTGGTTTTATGGTTAATAACTAATTTAGTGTAATTATTATGTTGTGATTTTAGGTTGAAGGAGCTGTTGATGAAGCTTGTAGAGGTCCAAGCATGTGGGACACATTCACTAAGAAATATCCACGTGTGTATAGTATTAATCATGATTTCGTGTATTTTTTTTTTTCGCCATTTTCATCTTTATATTAATAATATTTTCTACCATTATTAGTGAATATGTGAGATAATGTTTTTCAGATAGATGTCAAAACCACAATGCGGATGTGGCTGTAGATTTCTACCATCGTTACAAGGTAAATTAACATTAATATTTTTTCTTCTTGTGATTTAAATATATATTTTTTGATGTTTTAATATTTTGTGAAATGAATATATACAGGAAGATATTCAGTTGATGAAAGACCTTAACACTGATGGTTTTAGACTTTCCATTGCGTGGCCCCGAATTTTCCCTCGTAAGTT